GCCGCCTCACTCCTTACTGACAGCTACCTAGCCAAAATTCAAGCGTTTGAAACGAGGACATCGAGACGAAGATGATAGGGGCCCCGAGCGACGCGGCTTGGAAGACATGTTTTCGGACGAGGACGAGGAGGCCAACGAACAAAGACACTACGGCCGAGCGAATTACCGCTCCCAAGCTGACGAATTCGATGACTTTATTGAAGAGGACTTCCCCGAGGACGAGGACGAGCGAGCGCGTCAACTCGAAGATGCAGAAGTGGCACGGCCGCGCGACAAGGGCGTGGGCGGTGTCGTGGACACCACTGGACTTGATAAGGATGCTTTGGAGGACATGGAAGCCATTTTCGGTAACGGCGAGGACTACGACTGGGCTCTGCAGATGGAAGACGAAGAAGAGGATCGTGAGCGTGAAGAGCAAACCATCGAGCTTAAGGACGTCTTCGAGCCGTCTCAGCTGAAGGAGAAGTTGCTCACCGACGAGGACAACCAAATCCGATTCACCGACGAGCCCGAAAGATTCCAGCTGGACCGAAAGCCGTTCAAGCATCTGCAAATAACTGCAGAGCAATTCAAGGAGGAAGCCAGGTGGATCGCAGCTTTGATGTGGCCCAAAAAGCTTCTCCAGTCTGAACTTCATTCGCCCTTCACCAAGGCTATCGGCAAAGTTCTTGAGTTCTTCGTCGTCGACGACGTTGAAGTACCGTACGTCTTCCAACACCGCAAGGACTACTTGATTCACGCCAAGAAAACGAAGAACCCCGACCATCGCGATGATCCCGACGCCCCTGAATACATCGTCAGCGCCGACAAGCTGCTTACTCAGGACGACTTGTGGCGCATCCTCGAGCTTGACATCAAGTTTCGCTCTCTTATTGAGAAGCGGAACTCGTTGGAGAAGACATTTGAGAGCCTAAAGGAGTCGGCCAGCATTAACGATGATGTCCTGACAGACATGATTTCCCAGGCTGCCACTATGGAGGAGCTGCAGGACCTCCAGGACTACCTACACTTCCAGTACACGGCCGAGCTGAAGGACCTGTCTTCAATCAACGGCAATGGCAATCAGATGAAGCGTCCGGGCTCAAAATCGAACTTGTTTGACCGCATTCGCAGAAGCAAAGCAGCCGGCTTTGTCCGCGCTTATGGCATCACCCCTGATCGTTTCGCGCAAAACACTCTTCGAGAGGGCAACAAAGTCTTTGCTGATGATCCCAGCCAACTCCCCGATGACCTCGCTGACTCGCTCACCGATGAGGACTTCCAGACTGGTGATTCCGTTGTAAACGCTGCTCGCCAGATGTATGCGGAAGAGTTATTCGCCAACCCCCGCATGCGGAAACACTTCAGGATCAACTTCTACCAGATGGGCGAGATAAACTGTCGTCGAACGGAAAAGGGTCTGAAGAAGATCGACGAGTCGCATCCGTTCTACGAAGTCAAGTATCTCATCAACCAGACAATTGCCGATGTTGCTCGACAGCCTGAACTCTACCTCAAGATGATGAAGGCTGAGGAAGAGGGCCTTATTGAGGTCAAGTTGACTTTGGAGAATGAGGACGGCTTCAAGCGCCAATTGCGCCAAGAGTTTATCTCGGACAACTACAGCGAAATTGCTGATCGATGGAATGAGGAACGTCAAAAAGTGCTTGATATTGTTGTTCCCCGCCTTTCAAAGATCATCGCCAAGGGTGTCAAGGAGTCACTTCGTACAGCGTGTCAAGAGGAGGTGCTCAAGTCTTGCCGCGAAGAGTACGCCAAGAGACTCGATCAAGCACCGTACAAGCCCAAGGGCATGATTCTCGGTACCGTGCCTCGAATCATCACGTTGTCCAACGGTATGGGAGATCCCGCCCGAGATGCCACTTCATGGGTCTCAGTCGAGGAGGATGGTCGCGTCATTGAACAGGGCAAGCTTGGCAATCTCGCGCGTGATGAAGCCACCCGCGCGGAATTTGTTGACATCGTCAACAGACGCCGCCCCGATGCCATCGGTGTCAGTGGCTTTTCCGCAGACACTCAGAAGCTTGTAAGAGATTTGGAGTCTTTGATCAACGAAAAGGGCCTGATGGGCCCTGAATTCGACGATCCTGAGCTTGGCGAATACAGGACTGAGCCCCTCGAAGTCATCATCGTCAACGACGAAGTTGCCCGTCTGTACAAGGACAGTCCGCGAGCAGTAGCTGAACACCCGACCCTTAGCCCTCTCACGAGATACTGCATCGCTCTGGCGCACTATATGCAGAACCCGCTGAAGGAATACGCTGCTCTAGGCAAGGACATTGCGTCGTTGGCTTTCCACCCTTGTCAGAACCTTCTGCCCCAAGAAAAGCTACTCAAACATCTGGAGTCAGCGATGGTCGACATGGTGAATCTGTGTGGTGTGAACATTAACGAGGCCATCGGCGATTCATACACGGCTAATTTGCTGCCTTATGTTGCTGGCCTTGGCCCGCGCAAGGCTACCAGTGTCATTAAGGCTATCAACGCGAATGGCGGATCTGTCAGCAGCAGAGACGAGCTGGTCGGTGATCCGGACAGCGGAAAACTGCCAGTCGTGGGCCCTAGAGTATGGAACAACTGCGCCAGTTTCCTGTTCATCGACTACGATGCGACAAATCCAACCTCCGATCCCCTGGACAATACTCGTGTCCATCCCGAGGACTACGAACTTGGTCGCAAGATGGCGGCTGATGCTTTGGAACTCGATGAGGAAGACGTCAAGGCCGAGACAGACCATAACGGCCCCGGGGCCATTGTCCGCAAGCTTTTCAAGGAGGACGAACAGGAAAAGGTCAATGAGCTTATTTTGGAGGAGTATGCCGAGCAGCTGGAGCGAAACTACAGTCAAAGGAAGCGCGCGACCCTCGAAACCATCCGAGCCGAATTGCAAGCGCCGTACGAAGAACTCCGACGCAACTTTGCCGCACTTGGCGCGAACGAGATTTTCACAATGTTTACTGGCGAGACGAAGGACACTCTTGCTCAGGGCATGATCATTCCGGTGAACGTGCGGGTTGTGAAGGACGACTTTGCGATTGTGAAACTCGACTGCGGTATTGAGGGTCGTATCGAGTCACACGATGGCCCCGACGGCGTACGGGTAAGAGGCATTCTCTCGACGGGGCAAACGGTACAAGCCAAGGTCCTGGATGTGAATTACAAGGACTTTATTGCCAAGCTCTCTGCACGCGATGCCGAAGTCAAGCGCCCGTACAAGCGGCAGCTCTACCACGGTCATGGGCAGTGGGATGACAGACTCGAGGCAGCCGATAAGGAAGAGCTGCGCGAGAAGGATAAGACCACGGGTCGCACTCAGAGAGTCATCAAGCACCCCATGTTCAAGCCTTTCAATGGTTTGGAGGCAGAGCAATGGCTTGGTACTCAGCCAGCCGGAGAAGTCATCATCCGTCCCTCTTCCAAGGGCAACGATCATCTTGCTATTACCTGGAAGGTTGCCGACGGTGTCTTCCAGCATGTTGATGTCTTGGAATTGCAAAAAGATAATGAGTTCTCGGTCGGCAAGCTGCTCAAGGTGGGCGGAAAGTTCACCTACAAGGATCTTGACGAACTGATCCACGAGCACATCGAGGCCATGTCTAGAAAGGTGGACGAGATGATGCAACACGAAAAGTTCGAGAAGCGCTCTAAGCCAGACCTCGGTAAGTTAATGTCTAATTCTTTTGACAAGTTGTCGATCAAAGCTCATAATGTTTGCAGAGAAATGGCTCACAACGTACATTGACGCCAACCCCAACCGATCCGCCTACGCCTTCTGCATCGACACCAAGCACCCTGGCTACTTCTGGCTCTGCTTCAAGGCCAGCCGTTCGTCGCGAGTCAACTCCTGGCCTGTCCGCGTCATTCCCGGTGGCTTCGAGCTATTGAAGCAGGCCTACCCCGACATGAGAGCGCTCTGCAACGGCTTCAAGATTCGGTACCAGACTGAGATCACCAAGATGCAGAAGGGCGGTAGATAGGTTCCCCCCTCCGAGTCGAGGGATTACAGAAGAGGCGTTGCGAACATCGGCAGCTACTACTGAGACTGATGATGATGGGCGAGGCACTCGGTGATGAGAAAATTACTGCAGTTGGGGAATGAGACGTCGCCTGCGCCCGAGCCGAGGGTGGCGGCTATTTGTTTATTTTAGTATTTTCCAGGGCAATTCCGGAAACGTTGGACGAGATGGGAAGGGGGCGAAGAGCGGAAGATCAAGATCAATCAGCATTCATGTAAAAGCATTACCTAAAAGCTCAGAAGGCTCAGGGCCATAGATAAAAAAAATATTGGCGTCTATTGATGAACATCCGTCTATGATCTGGCGTGAAGTACTCGAAGTGATCTCGCTCACTGTAGAAAAGTTCGCATGTGCCGAATGCCTCGGGGTCCAACATGTGTGTCCCGTGCCTGTGGTCGTAGAACAGCGTACCTAGGTAGGCATATGAGGAGGTTACGTTCGAGCCTCGGCAACAGCGCCTGGAATAAATGGCCGTGAATATGCCCAGTATTGGTACAGCAGTTCTACCAGCTGAAACATAGAGATCATGCTTGTCCAGCGTTAGAGACTTTGGTCTCGAATCCCTTTTTATCTCTTTCTTCACCTGATTTTTTTCGGGTCTTTGTTTGGTTCCTGCCTCTCAAAGAAAGGGTCGAGATTGTGGAATATCTGCGAGAGCCCTCCACATGCAGCGAGCCTTACGAACATGCCGATGATAGAAATGACAAATGTTTAGAGAAGCACGGTAAGTAACTGTTCAGGCAATGCAAGGGCGATGTAATCCACTAGGCAAGCGGAGAGAGGGAACATTAATGGCAAGCTCCAATCGTATTATTGAATAGAAAAGCTGTCTTCACCAGAAGCGAAATTCTATGTACGCAATGTCTAAAATTGAGATTCTGTGTGAAGCAGATTTGTGACAAAAGGAACGTAATGTGCCTCCAAACAAGACAATGGCATATCCATTTCCCTGATCATTTATCCAGGAATCATATCATGGCACCTTTACAGAACGAAGACGGCAAAAGCGCCGACCGCCATGAGGGCAAAGCCGACGCCAGCCTGGACGGCGTTGTTGGTGATGACGAGCTTCGTCGTCGCCGGGCAGCTGGCGCCGGAGCAGACCGTGGTGGAAGCGCCAGGGGCGGTGCCAGAGGCCTTGGCGCTGGACACGGTGGATGACTTGGTGACCGTGGTGGTGGAGTTGCTGTAAGTGTTGCCGTTGTTGCTCTTGTTTGTGTTGCTGCCACCGCCGTTGTTGCTGTTGTTGCTCTTGTTCGTGTTGCTGCCGCCCGTGGTCTTAGCAGAAGTGGTGCTGACAGTGATGACCTTGGTGACCTTGGTCGCGGGGGTGGTCTTGGGTGTGGCCGGAACACCAGGGGTCGTGACCTCTGTGACAGTCTTGGTCGTGACGCTGCCGATGGGGCAGTTGGGGACGGAGGCAGGGCACTTGGTGATGGTGTAGGTCTTAGTGAGGACGGTGGTCCTGACGCCAGGGGGGTTCGTCTTGGTGGTGGGCTTGGTGGTGTTTTTGTTGACCTTTGTGGTGGCCTTCGTGGTGTTGCTCTTGTTCACCTTGGTCGAAGCCTTGCCATTGCCCTTGGCGGAGGTAGTCTTGACCGCGGCGGTGACGGGGCAAACGGTAGTGTAAAGGGCAATGGTCTTGGTCACGACGGCGCCGACTGGGCAGTTTGTGACGGTTGGGGCGCAAGAGGTCACAGTGGAAACCTGGGTGGTGAAGACTGTTGAGGTAGTCAACTGGACGACGGAGGACGAAGAGACAACAGGGGTGGGAGCGGGGATGACGGAAGTTTGGTTCCAGTTGTTGGTGATGGTCGAGAACGCGCTGGCGGTTCCAGAGACGGGACCAGTGCCGGCATCGGTGACAGAGCCGGAAGCAGAGGCAGCAGCAGAAGAGACGGAAGCTCCGCTGGACCCGGAGCCGGATGCTTGGGAAGAAGCGGAAGCGGAAGCGGAAGCGGACGCGGAAGCGGAAGCAATGTCGGAGGAAGCAGAGCCAGAGGCAACAGCAGATCCGGAAGCAGCGGCAGACCCAGAAGCGGCGGCAGATGAGGCAGAGCCTGAGGCCTGAGAAGAGGCGGAGCCGCTGACCGAAGCAGACGCAGTGGCACTGGTACTAGCAGAATCGGTGGCAGAGAGGCTAGAAGCCGATGCGCTGGCGGAAGAAGACTGGCTGGCAGATGCGGAGGCGGAGGCGGAGGAAGAAGCGGACGAGGACGCCGTGGAAGAGGCAGAGGAGGAGACAGTGGAGGAAGTCTGACCGCCCTCCTTGAAGATGCGGATGTCCTTGACCTTGAAATATGTGTCGCTGAAAGCCGATGGGTTCGTAGCGGCGTAGGTAGAGCAAACAGCATGGCCTGTGGCGGCCTTGCATTCGCTACCCCAGACTCCATCATTTCCGGCAAGCACACCACACATGCCGATGTTAATGACGAGTCTCTGGTCCTTGAAGTGGCTGTTGATGTTGCAGGCATCGTTGGCGATCAGCATGCTGGGAGTGCCCCAGGTGGCGGTGTCAGGGGAGTCGGAGTTGACGTTGTCCGGAACCGAGCCCCATCGCCAGGAGAAGAACTTGATGTAATCGTCGGTCCACTCAACAGCGTAGACACCGCCATCGGAGGAGCCGTAGGGGTCAGAGGAGGTGGTCGAGGTTGTGCAACCTTGGTTGGAATACTGGTTGGGCGCCTCCTGATCACAGTTGGGCGTGTCCACCTGGGCAGTCTGGCCAGTCGAGCTGATGAGGCACTGGCCTTGTTCCGAGGACTTGTAGGTGTGAGCGGCGGGCTTGTTGACCTTGTTAAGGTTCCAGCCTTCGAACCAATCGAGCTCTCCCTTCGTGGGCCAAGGCGAACCGTACGACCAGCTTTGCCAATGTTAGTACCAATGTTGACAACAGCGTAACTAACAGACTTACAAGGCAGGCCAAGCACCACAGACGGGCTTGGGCAAGTGGGAGAAGCGAGCGACAATCAGAGCCTTGTTGTAGACTTCCTTGCTCTCAAGTCTCACACTGGAGCGACCAACACCAGGGAACTGGGTGATACTCTTGGCGTCGAGGCCCAGGTAGATCTCGCCACCGGCGGTGGACGCGAGACCCAGGGCTTGGGCATCCGCCTGGGAGCGGTAGTTGATGTAGCCCGAAGTTGGGTCGACGTCGTTGTAGTTCGAGGTGTTGTAGTTGCTCTCGAAGAAGGTGAACTTGCTGAAGAAGTTGGTCGAATCGTACGTATCGGCCAGAGAAAACTTCTTGGCAGCAACATCACCAGCCAAGGCCAAGGCAGCAGTGCCGATGGTAACGAGCGAAGGGGCCATTTTGAGCGGTATTAAATTTATTGAAACGAGAGACTAGGTATTAGGTGTCTGTAAAAACGAGTGACTTGACGAAAGATACGTCGTTGGACGAGCAAGGCGGCTCTGGAGGTTGCTGGACGGCACAGGAGTTGTCGAGGTGCTGCGTGAAGAGGGAAGGGAAAAGGAAACCCTTGTCGAGTGGACAAGGTGCCCTCTTATGAAGCCCTTGGTTGCACATCACGAATGTGTGTTTGAAAGTCCCTCTCTGCTGGCAAGTCGGGCACTTACACGCGGGCAGGGGGCACAGCAGCATCGCGGCAAGCCAGCCTAGTGAGGGCTGGGCTTCTCCTGGAAGGGGTAGCTCTCGATGGCCTGGCAAGCTCTCCAAAAATCGGGTAGGGGTCGCTTGGTCGAGCAATTGGGGCCTAGAAAGGAAAAGCTTATGTTGAATAAGGCCTCACGATAGCGGCTGGGAAGCACGCGAGAGTCCATTGATGGCGGCTTCGGAGCCAAGCGCCGTAAGGTCCGGGCACAAGTTCGGTGGAGGTTCCTTTCCTGCGGGTCAGGTCTGCGGGAAAGGGGCCCGGGAAATTGCGAAAAAGGCAATGATTGACAGCGATTGGAGGGATCCCGCGATGGCTGCCACGGGGCGCCGCGATATGTTGCCAGGGTCGTGAGTGTGTCGCCCGATGCGCTAACTTGAAGTGACTGTAGCGTCGTGACTATTCGAAAGTGGTACAGAACGCAAGCCTTCAGCGACAGCCGCACCTAGTGGCGTTGCGGCTATCTGGTTGGTAACCGTGACTCAGAACCACCCTCCCCTTTCCTACGACACGTTGTCTGGGTCGCTGGATGCACTTGTCAAGTTGGCGTGATGCCTAATGCAGGTACGTGATCACGGCCAGCAGAGGCAGGTGTTCGTCAGACATAGTTGCTGTTCTGGGCTGTGCCACATAATTCAATATTCTCCCCCGCGGCGTGGATAATCATGAGTCGTTCGAGGTGCTTCCCTGCGATCAATTTCCACCCGCTTCGACAGTTCTTTTCGACATACACGTGCAATGCCAAGGTCATTGAGCAACAGGACTCTTGAACAGTCAATAGAGATTTGAGACATGAGGCTTCAGGTGAGAGATGGACGTCGATGAAGCCTTCCACCTGGTGGCTATTCTGGAAGAGCTGAAGGAGTAAGACGTCGGAGCGTCAATGCGGCTATCACTTGGCACCGTCACAGCGCTCAGAGAGGGAAGAATATGGGCGAGTTGTGAACATCTTGGTTTACTCCGTTGATGCCAAGTGAAAATCTCAGGTCCGCCACCAGTTTTGAGCTATGCCCAAATAGAGCCAACGCCGAGTCAAAAGGCTGCTTTAAGCCTTTAGACCACAGTTCAACCACGATAACCCAAAAGCAATGGCATCGTGCCGGGATTGTTAAATTACCAAGCTGTGGTCATGCGGCAAAGTATGCGAAAGTCGTGTATGCGAAGGGACTTTGGTCACTGAACCTGCAGCAAAGCAGGCAGCAGCAACCAAGGGAATCTGGTTTTCGATCCTGTCTCGCACGAAACAGAATTTGCACTTGGCCCCCTCCCACGCCGCGTCGTGCGAGAAGCCGATGACATGGGAGCGCCATCGCGTCCGGTAGACTGTTCACTAGAACCAACGGACGGAGCAACATGGTACCACCGCCCGGCGCTAAAACAAGACTTGTCTGCCGAATGAGGGTGTTCGAAGCAAAATAGACGACGCACTTGCATTGGAATGGGATCGAGAAAAAACTGCACCACGTACTATTCAGGAGGTTTGATTGACCGCCTAGGGCCTGGGATAAGCTAATGGGAGCTAAACCATACTCCTGGGTCTGCATGAACAAAAGCCCAATTGTTGGAAACGTCTGGACGAAATTTTCGATTTGCCGGCAAGCACGTGGCTTTGAGATGTTTCTGCCGAAGGGCATTAGACGGCGTGGCGGCCGCCAGACCGTCCTCCTTCCATGACTATCTGAGCCTGTTGATCCTCTTTTTCGACTGGACTGAATACATGGCCGTCTTCTTCTTTTTCTCCTATTCGCGTCGGCTGCTTTTGGCAACATCTCCGCAGTGTTTGATGATTGGCCTAAAGGCGGTTTAGATTCGTATGATGGGCGCATGCGAACCTGCCTAGGGTGATGCAATTGTGACCGTCTTGTTGGTATGATCAAGCCATCGCAATCTGGATTCGGTCAGCCTCATCCAAGCAAGTGTTATGCGGAAAAGACTATGGGGACATCCTTCTTGAATTCAGACAAATTTGAGAAGATATGATAACGCGGTGTTTGTCGGCACTGCACCAACAGATCCAGGACAAGCCTATCACTTCTAGGTGCTTCGCTGGCCCCGCGTGCGTCATCATGGTCAAGACAAAGTCAGAAGAAATCGCACGTAACTTACATTGTACAGGTGCTTAGAAGCAGGGGTATCTTTGTGTAGTTGGTTGCAAGAAGGGCCTTCCGCGGCGTCATGTCTCGGGCCTGAACTTGCCGCGCTTCTCCCTCATAGCGTCAACCTTCTTTCGGTCCTCGTCGAATCTCTGCATCAAGGCAGCCTGCTCCGCCTTGCGACGCTCGCGCATCTGGAAGCGGTAGAAGTCGGTTGTCTCTGACTTCTTCTTGGCTGCCTTGTCCACCATCTTCTGGCGAGCCTCCTCGGCCTCGTTCTTGCTCGCCGGAGCAGCACGACCACCGCGCGTAACAGTAACGAAGCCGTCTTCGTCCGGCTCGTTGCGTAACCTCTTGGCCATTTCCTGTGCCTCCTTCTCCTTGCGGTTGAAGACGTTAAAGAATGCGTGAACTGACTTCTGCGTCGCCACCTTGTCGCAGCGAGAGAGTTGCAGATGGGTCGAGATCCATTGCGATCCGAGTTCAGGTAGGTCTTTCGACACGCCCTCACCCCAGACGGGGTACTTCTTCGACTTGTTCGCCTTCTTGATCGCCTTCAACACGAGCTCGACACTCTTGTCATCGGCCAGAAGAACGATGGCGCTGCTGCCGCTCTTTCGCAGCCTCCTCGTCCAAATATCCGGCAGCCGTGCCACTTCTTCCTCCTTCGCTCTTTCCTCCGCTTCCTGCTCGCCGCGCTTGCGCTTCTTGCCAAAGTTCGAGACTTTCACGGCCTGGGCTGGGTCAATGGCGGTCGCGGCTTTTCGCTCATCTTCGAATGCGATGCCCTCGAAGCGGCCGGGTCCGACGAGAGCGGCAAACACTTGGCGAAAATGGGCCTCGGTGCTGTCTACTGGTACATTCTTCAAGAACAGGCTTCGATCGTCAATCTCGGTAGGGATCTTGGGCGCGTTTCGTCGAACGCGGATTTCGTGTACGGCGTTGACGGGACAAGACGGAAGAGCGGGAATCTTGACGGGGAGGAGGACGAAGCCGTCTCCTTGAGACTCGGTTGATGGCATTTTGGCGACAGCGGGCGGGCCGAGCAACGTCAAAAAAGTCTTGTCGTGTTCTCGACGGAGAACGCAAGCATAACAGCTTCCAAAAATCTCAATCCACTGGGAAAAAGTTTAGGTGGGACCGAGTCCTGCTTATCGATTGCGACTTACTGGTCTGTGCGTCTTTCTCGGTCAAGTTCGGTCAAGTTCGGTGACTTACTTCGCTGCATCGACGGCACCGATGCAATCTGTGAACTCACCGGACGTAACACTGACTGCCTCAATAGTTTCTGAAATAAATTGATTCGTTCTGCATCATATCTCGATCGCTATTCTTCCGATACCACGGCTCACGCAGCTCAGCATCGATCCCGCCTTCTCTTCAGGAGATAATGCTGTGCCCCTGTGGTCGACCCGACCAGACTTCAACACTACCTTGCACGTTCCGCAATTTCCGACCTCGCAGCTACTTTCCAAGTCGCCGATACCACGCTTTATTACCTCCAGAAGCGTTTCCTCTTCGCTAACTTTGAGAACCTTGCCGTCTCGATTTGACACCTCCACCTCGAATGGATCGCCAGTCGTATCAGCAGCAAAAGCCTCGTAGTGGACGTCAGTGGCATCAAGACCACTTTCTTCCGCCGCCTTATTCGCCGCCTCCATCATACGTGTCGGTCCGCAAACATAGACGTGGCTGTTCCACTTGAGAGTCCGCATGATCTCGCCGATATCCATTCTTTCTCCTTTGGAACCATCATAGATGCGGGCACTCTTGCCAAAAGACTCAAGGCGCGAGCGGAACGGCACATCATCGGCCGAGCGGATGCCGTAATGTAATTCAAAATTGTAGTGGACTGAATGGTAGGCCTCCATGAGCGCCATGAAGGCAGTAATGCCGATCCCGCCAACGATGAAGACGTGGTTGCTAGACGCACTGGCAACCTTCACATCTGTAGTGATCCGACCGACTTGGACGATGTCGCCAACGTTGGCAGATTCGTGAAACCAACGAGAGCCTCCGCGGCTATTGTCTTCGAGCGCGATGCCCAGTTCGAATCTTTTGGGTTCGCCAGAGACAATGGAGTAGGATCGTAGCAGTTCGTTGGGAAGCTTGATCTTCGTATGGGCGCCTTCCATGTCGACCTCGGGTTGAGCATCGCCACTGACAGATTCCAAAGTGAATGAAGAAACCCGAGATGTTTCCCTCTTCTTCTCGACAATTTTGTAGTCGCGCCATTCTTCACCCTTGTCCTTCGTCTTTTTCGCCTGGGCCTTCGCCTTGGCCACTCGCCGCTGGAACGCGCCACGACTCTCCTTCCCCATCTCTTCAATTTGCGCCAGCTCTTCGTTCATCTGCAAATTGCTCTGGTCTCTATGCAGGAACTCCTGCACCCTCTCAATAGTCCATGCTGGCCACTTGCGCTCGACAAGCTTAATCTCGTCGCCGGCCTTGACGGTGCCCTCCTTTAGAACACGGTAATACCAGCCAGTCCTGCTCGTCTTGTACGTGTTCGGGGCGAAGTTTTTAAGTTGAAAGCGATGATTGAGCTTGAAGCAGGGCTGTCGAGGCAAGCTTACTTGGAGCAGAACCTCGTCGCCGACGGCAA